TAACAATGTGTATTATAATCAGATATATAGAGATTAGAAACACATGTGCATCTTAGTGTCAATTGTATCAAAAATGAATTTTTCTGTATGAAACCGTGTGTTTCAACAATGAAATGGAGATCTTTTTTAAAGTTTAAAACCTCATTTAAGTTTATATCTTATAGGGTTTATACTGAGTTCAATATTGTATAACTGTATTAATTCAACTGTAACCTAAAATTTTTATAGCCACTTTTGAAATAGATGTATCTTTGCCCTGGAAACTGTTATTGAGTATGTTAAAGCTGTAATGAAATGCTTCTTCTAAAAAACAAATAAAATAAAATAAAAATAAAAACCAAAAAAAATCATAAAATATTCCTGTGAATTAGTGTTATTTCAGAGCTTCAGTGACAAAGGAAATATTTCTCAAAAGATCCCAAGCCAGTGTCTCATTACATCAAACTTCACCCCAATGCCAACAGAGAATAAATTTAGGAACAGTTGATAGATGGTGATAGATAGATAGATAGATAGATAGATAGATAGATAGATAGATGGATGATAGATAGATAGATAGATAGATAGATAGATAGATAGATAGATAGATAGATAGATAGAGGGGGAGAGTCTCTGTTAGCTTAAAAAATAACTTTATTGAGAATTTCATACATGAATATAAGGTATTTTGATCAAATCCACTCCCACTCCCTCTCCTGCAACACTTCCCATATCTCCCCCTCAGGAAAAGTTATTCTTGCATTTAATATATTCACTTTACAATGTTCCTTTATACCCAGATCTTCTAGCCTCATTTCTTCCATTGCTCTGGCTCATTTCTAACAATGGTAATTGGTTTGTTTTCCTTCATCTATATGAAAATATATCTACTTCTTTCCTCCTTTTCATTCCTCATTCCTTTTCTTGAGACAAGATCCCACTTACACAGGCCCACACTAGCCCCCAAGTCTAGACAGTCCCGCCTTAGCCTCTAGAGAGATGGGATCACACCAGGCTTGGCTATCTTTCTTCATTTTTGACTCTTTCCTAAAATCTCAAGAGCTCCAGGTACCCAGACACACACTTCCCTATAAAAGGTGGGGTTTAGCTAGGCCAAGAGGACTAACTAGTGGAAGTTCAATTCTAGCAAGTGGGGTACTATACTTAAGGCACCTCAAAGCATCTGCAATGTTTTACATGCTCAGGTAACATAAAGTGCCATCATTATCACAATCTAGGTATAAACGAAGTATCGGCATTTTCTTCCTGCTTCAAAGGTCTTTTCCCTCTAGTTCATTTGAAGAAAATGCAGTTGTCTCACATCTCTTCAAAGACGTTTCTCTTTGTTGCTGTGAGCTGCCTCCCAAGATGTCTTGAAGCCTCCACCTGAAACACTTGGGCTGCCTCCTTTTCAGCAGCCAAGTGGTGCCGCATGTGCATCAACAGAGAAAGCAACATGGCTGCCTTATCTCTCACACCACCACTCACCAAGCAACTCACCAGGTTTATTTAAAGAGCTGGAGACAGAAGTAAAGTAAAAGATATAGCTGTGGTTCTTAATAAAACTTTCCCCAAATCCAAAATAAAAGCACCAAAGAATACTTCACAGAGACTCTCCTCAAGAACACCCCAATTCTGCATTTTGTCTAGGGCATGTCCATTTTTCCACCCACAGAGATAGTTTTTACCTCTCCATCTCTCAAAATTTGTCACTATGGCTTTATGATCACCTTCCTCTGTGCACCCAAGGTAATATGAGGCTATATTTCTCAAAAGCTGAGCTATTCAATACAGGTTGGACAAATATTTAGCAGAGTGGTGCAGAATGGTCCTTGGCACTCAAAATATAGATCCCGTCCAGCCTTCCTGAAAGGTAAAGAGCTATTATAAAATTTCACCTTCTTTTTGATTTTGTATTGATTATACATACACACACACGTGCACGTATGCGCACACACACACACACACACACACACTCACTCACTCACTCCTCAGATTCTCAGAGATGTTAAAACCAAAATCCACTTTTAAAAATTAAAGCAAACCATAGTAGTAATATATGCCTTCAAGCCCAATCTGATCTTGACCCTGAATTTGCCATCCTCCATCTTAGCAAGAAAGCAGAAGAATGAGACAGAAAAAGCTGAAACAGAAAGGTGGAGAGTTCAAAGTCACCCTGAACTATCTAGCAAGTTCAAGGCCAACTAGCCTACAAAGACCCTATCTCAAAAATATAGAAAATAAAAGGGTTTTCCTAAAAGTTCCAAAGCTCCATGATGTGCTCAGAATCTCCCAGACAAGACAGGGGTAGCATGTGATGTAATCCTCCAAATCCATGGAGTTCTTTGTTCTCTCTCTCTCTCAGCCTCGGTCTTCAAAAACTGAGCAATTATAAGATCACTCACCCTAGTGCTACCGTCGTAAGGTCTAGGAATTCTGAAACTCTAATGAGTATTTGGGATTAAATTTATTCTTAAACATCAGATCACGTAAATTTCTTGGTTGAGGACTTCTTTTGTATGTACACGTTGTATATGAAAGGGCAACTCTCTCAGAGAGTTGGGAGACTATGTTACATATGACACCAAGGACTCTACCTGTAGTCTTTGGTAATACTGTTTATAAAGCTAGATAAAAATTGCTCCCGGGCCCTTGTATCACTGTGTGTCCCTTCTTCCAGCTAGAAATACTCTTATCTGGACAAATACATAAATAATGGAAAGCACATCAGGTTAATTATCTCTTGGACCTAAAAGTGTATCCAATAAATAACAACTTAATAGATACAAAGCTGTGGGGATGTGATACCAAGTGGTGTAATCTTCAAAGAGAGTACATACAAGAGAACTCCAATTCTTAAAAGTATAAGAGAAACCTTGTTTGTGAAAAAAAAAAGGACTTGAGTACATACTTGCCAGTGATACCAACAGTCCCATCAGAAGAGCACTCTGTTCAAGGTTTTATGTAGGGCAAGTTTAACATCTTTGTTCCTCAAGCTGTAGATCAATGGATTAAGCATTGGAACCACATTGGTATAAAACACTGAAACAAACTTGCCCTCTTCTGTTGACCCAGGGAAAGAGGTAGTTAAATAGGTGAAGGCTCCTGACCCAAAAAACAGAGCAACAGCAATTATGTGGGAGCCACAGGTGCTAAAGGCTTTGAATCTGCCCTCAGCAGAAGGAATTTGAAGAATGTTGGAAAGAATCAGAGCATAAGAGATAAAGATACTGATACTGGATCCTGAGATGACCACCCCAACAACAATAAAAAACACAAGCTCATTGACATAAGTGCTGGTACAGGAGAGCTGCAGGAGAGGGAGGACTTCACAGAGATAATGGTGGATGATGTTGGAATCACAGAAGGTCAGTCTCAGCATGCTTCCAGTGTGGGCCATGGCCCCAGCAAAGCCTATCACATATGAACCAAGCATCATCAGAGAGCAGACCTGAGGTGACATGGTGACTGAGTAGAGCAGAGGGTTACAGATGGCCACATAGCGATCATAGGCCATTGACACCAAGACACAGCACTCAGAATTGACAAAGAAACAGAAGAAAAAAAGTTGAGTCATACATCTCACGTAAGAGATGGTATTTTCTGAGACAAAATCATTCAGCATTTTGGGGGTGAATACACAAGAATAGCAGAGATCTATAAAGGACAAGTTGAAGAGAAAAAAGTACATTGGGGTATGAAGGCTAGAATTCAACCCAATTAAGGTGATCAAGCCCAAATTGCCCACCACAGTGAATACATAGATCCCTAAGAACAGGAGGAAGAGGGGGAGTTGGAGTGCTGGTTGTTCTGATAATCCCACAAGGATAAACTCCATCACGAAGGTGCTGTTTCTCACAGTCATTTTCTGACAAGTCATCTGGGAAACGGAATAAAGCACAGAGTGAGCATAAGCTTGCACAATGGAAGGCTTTAGAAGCTAAGTCAGTGTGTGCATGCCAACTTTTCCTTTTTTCCCTCATCTACATTTCTCTTCATCTGAAGCTGTTAACTATGTGACTGACACTAGCTCAGCTCCCCTGGGCTCATCACAAACTGAAAATATTCTGCTTGCATAGGCAAGGATTCTGTTCCCACTTAAGAGATGAGGAAGCAGCACACCTCAGTTGGCTACCCTTGGATTATCAGAATGATAACTCAAGAACCAAGAGTGCGATATGGTTCCATCGTCTTGGTCTGTGTTAAATGGAGATCTCCAGAACATATTCTTTGCCTGTCTCTCTCAACCATCTGTCAACCTGATGACTCCCATCTATAGAGAAAACCATGCCCAAAGTATTCCCGACTGGCCTTGCATACCTGCCTTCCACCTTCAAACCCTTTCAGTCACTTCACCTCAGAATCAATGTCGAAAGCAACAGAGGGACAAATACTTTCCAGAGACCTTGTATAGAATTTTAGGAGAAAACTATCGGGAAAGATGGATTCAGAACTTCACTTTGCCCTCCTTGGTCCTTCTCAGTGCTGGGCTTTATGCAACAGCTTCTTCAGTTAGCAAGAAGATGGGATTGCTGGAACAGAAATCAGACTGCCTTGGATGCTCACTCTTTATTCTCTTGGTGCTTAAAATTGCAGCATTAACTGACTCTTCAGTTCTCTGAAGTGCTCAAGGAATGGGCCAAAGTTGCTATGGATTTTCCCAGCTACTCTTCAACACCTTCTGGAAAAAACAAACAACCCTTTTTGAAAGAAGTAAAACTGGCATACCATGGGGAATTGTGCAGCTTGGTGATCTTGGAAAACTCGTAACACAGATCCCTTTGGGAATTTCTCTAGTTCTGTCTCTATAGGGAAAAAAGTTGTACTGTCTTTAACAGACTGCATTAGATGTTTATGTACCTTCTTGGGGAGCTGGAGTTCTATCCAAACTTCCACTGTACTCCAGGGATGTGATGCCATTCTGTGCTGTTTAGAAGCTTCATTTTTCCTCTCCTC